ACCAACTCCAATTCTTTTACCTGTTAACATCTTAGAAGAGGGGGGGGGGGGGGAGGGGGTTAAGTGGGCCAAATTAGTACTATTATGGGTAATAATTATATTAGAGACAAACAAATAAAGTTAAAAACCTCCACTTAATTGTGCATGAGGTTAAATGTGGTCAAATATGGTAAATAATTTATATAATGAATTGTGGTATGATTTTTCTTTTGTAACGAGAGTCAATCAATGAGTAAATTTGACATTCAATTATTGTATTTATTAAGGACATATATGTTATTGTAGTCAATTTCATTTAATTGGGTAAGAAAAGTACTTCCCCTTCTAAATAGTAATTAGAGGTGTATTAATGTTATAATTTTGAAACAATTTCAAATAATTTACTACTTAAATTGCCATTAGCAAATGTTATATGAATTGGGTTTTAGCTAATTTAGAACCAAGAACACGAGTAATTGACTCTGATTGAGTAAAGTCAAACTAATTATTTTATTATCTTCAAATGAACATGTTATAGGCCAAAGGATACAAAACAAAAAAAATAAAAAAACAATTTGAACCGCTCGAACTTAATCCTTAATTTTTATTTTATTATTGTTATTATTATATATTTTATTCATATTGTTATCCTCGAACTAAGTTTTAGTTTCGAGTTCGTACCTAACAAGATTAATACCAAACTAATGACCTCATTTCAAGTAATCTATCTCGAGCCGGACTAATATATAAGACCAAATTGCAATTTTCATTCGAAAATTAAAGTAGGGAAATAAATCGGGTTTTGTCAAAGTTAGTTTATATTAAATTAAAATTTACTTGACTCATTTTATATTTTTACCATTACACATGTGAAATTAATCTCTTTTTTTTGTCCATTAAGAACAAATAAATAAATTTGAGAACCTTATCCCCTAATTTTATATTTACTCATCATAAGTAAATCATATATATATATATATATATATGGGGGATATTTTGAGTGCCCTATACATAATTAATCACACCCATAATAAGCCATTAAGATAAAAGTCAATATACAAGCCAATATAGCCTCTTGTATGGATGTTACATCCCCTTTTTAAGCCATCTAAAGGTAGAAAGGAAAAACAAAAACAAAAACAAAAACAAAAAAAAGAGCATTCAAATGCACAATGGCCATGTGATAAAGGTTTTTCAAATCTTATTTATACCACCAAAACAATAAGATGATGATGCTTTTGTGTCTTTTGCATTTGAGTTCCACTTGCACTTATAAACACAATTATTGCTCCTTCATATGGTCACCAATAATTATTTTTTTTGGTTTTTTCTATGAGCTTTTTTTAGGTTTTCCCTCCATAGATGTTGTAATTTAGCATTATTATATTTCCCCTTTTTTAAAAAAAAAATAAATTAATTTAGTATATTGTTACACGATCATGATCGTGCATCGCATTTATCTTAATCGACTCATAACCAATATCGTATTAAATAAAATACATTTTGCCAAAAGTATATACTCATATAAATCCAATCTTAAATAGAATGTTTGGCGATCTTAAGTAGAAGTATGTCATTTAAACTCAAGCTCTATCCCATTTCATGAAAAATAATAATAGTTTAGATATTAGATTTGCTTGAAATTTTAAATCTTGGTATACAATTTAAAATTCGTTGATTAAGTCTTCTTAGTTCAGACACATAAATATGATTCGTAAATTCCAATGAAGAATTTTTACTAAGTAGAGGACCGTAATAAATTATTATTATTTTTGTTGTATTGTCAGTTTATAAGAACGAATCCGATTAACGATCATTAATATACACATAAAATTAATTTAATAATTTCATTACATTAGTCAATATTAAACTTGTTATACATTGATTAATTGATTTGACTAATGGTTCATTAACAAAACTTTTGATTTAAATTAAAAAAAGTATAAAATTATATTATTCAAAACGTATAATTTACTAACTATTAATATTACAAATACATAAATATACAAATGTTGTGTTAAATATTAAAATTTTATTATTACAAAATAAATAAGAACCGAAGAAAAGTAAATGATCAAATCCCATCACTTCAATTTATTTATTTGCATTACGCCTAAGATGGGTTTTATTAATATTTATCGTTTTTGACAAATTGTTTCTATATTCGTGCAATAATAAATTAAATTTAATTATAATTCGTGATTTAGCATATGGAAACCGATCAATTCAGTCTAAAACAATTGTATTACTTCATATTTTAGTGGTAAGTTATACTCGATCACACATCACAAGGTGACATATCTATTTATTTATTGGACACCATACAAATTATTTATTTCCAACCAGTCATTGAGAAGTGTAATTTTAAAATTTTCAAGTTAATTAATGATCGATCCTTGAAATTACGGTCCCAATTAATTTGGTAGAATTTGTGACAAACCCATCAAAACATTGACTTCTTAGAATTCATCGATGGGATTATTATTGCATTGAAACAAATTTTGGTAGGCTATCATTTTCCAACACACAGAAAATATTGTAAAAAGGAAAAGAAGAAAAAAACCCAAGTAAGATAACGGTCCAATTTAATGTAATATAAATTTAATTCCATAATTAAAGAAAATTGTATATGTGTATGTATATATTAATTAAAGGTCTTGTGTACGTCTAGGAAAGTGACTCATATCACGATCATTATTATACAAAACCCACACAAACGCGTATCAAAGAAGTCTAATATTTCGACTATATATGGCAAAACAATGCATATAATTGTCGTGTAGAAAACTCATCATAAATTTGTTAATTATATATATATATATATATATTTTTTTTTTGAATTAGGGTTTTGTCAAAAGGAAAGTTCTTTGAACACTATGATTTCAATGTTGACGTGGGATTTCAATTGTGGCATGCAAGAATTAGGTGATTGATAGAATTTGTTAGTTAGTGAAATGATTTAATCTAATTCCCATTATTGACATTTAATTTGTAGGTAATGTCAGAAGCTGGCCTAATTGCTAGTTATTCTGATTAATATATATATATATATATATATCTATCCTGTATGAGCAATACATATCCGAGGTTTGAGGGGTTTGGAGTGGGAAACTTATCAAGGAGAGACCACACAAACTACTAATACATATATGTAAACATATGCGGGACTAAAACTTGTCATTAATAAGGATAATTAGAGATTAGCATTAAGTAATTAATTAGTATTCACAGAACAATTTTTAAGATTTGGGAGAAGATGATGTTAAAATTTGGAAGGAATCCCTATTTTAATGTATCATCCAAAGTAATGATTTTTTTAAAGAGAATAGTCTTGAATCTTGAAACCCTTTTTTTATTTTTATTTTTTAAAAATAATTATTTATTGGTTATATATGTACATATTGGTTTTGGCGTATCATCACAACTCTGAAACGGTTACCTAAAAAGATGACACATATGTCGTTTTGATAATGAACATGCATGTGGCATTCTTACATACATAATACACAATACATAATATATATATATATATATATATATAAAGGGGTTTTAATAATTTAACCACTAACCCATACGCCTTCTCCAATGTCTCTTTAAAAGAACCCCCCCGCCAACTTTGAACCGTCACTGTACCGCAGATCCTAAGTCACGGAAATCTGTTCATGTGATGAGCAAGATTCTAAGGTCAAACAAATCACAAATCAAGAAAAAAAAAAAAGAAAGAAGAAGCTCCATGGAAATATAAAAGAAATGGCATTGTTATTTACACTTCCCTAGGGTATATATATCTATATATATATATATATATATATACATATATGTATGCGTGTGTGTAACTGAAAAGGGTGCCTAAGATCAATAATGCCC